CGAATTGTTTCCTTAATTCCGGATACAATATCACGCGTTATAAAATAATATTAACCCGACGCTACGAATCAAGTGGGTATATTGCGACCCAAGTGGAAAATAAGCAATTCCGTTTAAATCACAATCTAGCAACTCTCTGATACCCGTGAAATTGCCGTAACGAAATAAATGTTAAATAAAACGTAAAATAAAATTATTGTGCCTCCACAAACAAATAATTGGAACGGGAGCATACCTACCCGGAGCCAGCGGCCGTTGCTCGTTTTATGGCTTATTTGGGGGAAAAGCTTTATTGAGTTTAGCCACGTTGTCTTCTTGTCCTGCGAATGTGGTTCTTAATACTTATGATGTAGACTACAAAATCCCTTGTCGGACATCGTTGGCGTCACCACCGTGCGGCATGAAATGACTTTTTCGTTTGTATTCGCTCTTTATCCACTTAGAGTCATTCTTTTTTTTCCACTCGCAACAATTCACTTTCGGATTTCGCTAGTCGTGCTGAGTATCGTTATTATTTTATGGCATGAATAATTTTCAATGGTTTCTTTTTAACTCGTGGCATTCCTAGTTATAGCTTCTTGTGTTTGAAATAACAGAGAATTTCTTTATAATAGAACATCTATAAAATGGTACGGATAAAACAGTGCTTATTTATACTATTTTAAAAAAAATGCGTTTCATCCCATTAGATCCTAAACACAAAGATGCTATTTTAATACAAGATGTGACAACGTATGAAAAATGTAGATGTTTAAAAATTAGGATAAAATTGCTGCCTTATTAATAACTTTAGATTTGTTTATTTTATATTAATATATATGAATGAATGAATTTGTATTTATTGCCATAAAATAGAAATTACATAAAAGAACTTACTCTACAGAAAATACAATCGTGGCAAAAGGTAGCCAGCTCAGTGTATGCAGGACGGACTAAGCCGTTCCTTCAGCTGGCGCCTTAGTCTAATAATAATTTCATGTAAGAAAGGTGTAAAATAAAAAAGTAATCATAATATACTAATGTGATACGAAAGTTTAGAAGGATGGATATTTGTCAGAGTATATAGCCTAAACAGCTGAACGGATTTCGATGAAATTTGGCATAGATGTAGAGAATGCTTTGGAAGAATACATAGGCTACTCAGTTTTGTATTTTTTAATTCTACGCGGACGGAGTCGCGGGCGAAAGCTAGTACAAGATAAAAGTATTATCAAACGAACTTATAGTCACATGAAATTTAAAATCGCAGACTACGTTATATCTGAAAATAGACCTTCCGATATCAAATCTCGGCTGAAAATAGACGTTTCGATAGTAGTACTTCCTGTCGGAACTTTATCATGGCTAGATAATAATATTGTAACCACTAAACAAACAAAAAAAGTCTAATTTTGTGTCATTGTTTAATTTTTCAGCCGCTTGTAAATGTATTTTTTAAATAATAGTTGATTTTACGAATTGAGTACCTCCTTCTTTTGGGCCAGTCAAAAACAGAATCATTTTCGTTGATCAAATTAGGTGTTAAACTTTTTTATATCGTTTTTTTAACCAGTATTAGGCAGATGTGCTTCAGAATTAAATAAACAAAGAATGTTAATTTAGTCTTGTATTGCGTGGGCGAGGCAAAGGTCGCCAAACCTAGAACCCCGCGGTGACACAGCTGAAACATACGAACCACCTTTCATACTTGTTTACAATTCGGAACTATAAATTATTGTAAGGAAATAAAGTTTTAAACACGCATTCACTTTATCTGTGGAAAGAATCGATGGTTGAATGGAATTCAGCACCTTTTTGGTTCACATTTATCTACTGTCCCATTTTTTATTAATATCTTCGCTTTTTAAATAAAGTTAGATACCATTTTTATAATATTTATTTAATGCGAGATAATTAAAAAGTTATTTGATGAAATTTATCCCATTGAATAGTTTGCACTAGTTGAAACATATTTATAATATTTCGCGGGTTTTAACAATATTCTTACTTTAAGATACTATCATTTAATGAAAGCATACAAAAGCCTAAATGATCCCATTTTACTGAAAACTATGTTAAAAAAACCGTTGTCATTATCTTGTCCAGAATATCGAATTTGGTGTGAGAGGTTTTAATTACTCGAAAGTTTAACAAGTTTATTTCGTAACCCTAGTATATTGGGTTTGCTAGTTTGGTAGGATGGGCGTATGCGTAAGCTACGCCTATAAAGGAACTCACAACTCCAACAGTACAACGGACTTGGCTTGCGACGCTCATAGCGATCATTATCCGAATACTTTATGAAGCAGAAAATGGTATCACACAACACGGCCCCCAAGTGAAACCGGCGCGCGGTAGTCAGGCCGCCAGGAAGCTGAGGCGGGGAATGATGGAGAGGCGTCGATTTGGCAAAGCGGCGGGCCGCCGCGGCGCCTCGGGCAATGCCGGGCGCCGAGCGCTAGCGCACGCCTCCGAACTCCGTACTTTATGAACCGCCAAATAACTTATCACCAGTTTAATGCAATGAAATAAACGAGGCATATTTATGATCCGCGCGGATCATTGCGACGTGAACTTGCGTTTTTTTTTCCTACTTTCACTTCAAGGGTCGTAGTTGGCTCTTATTTATGGATCTAGCGGCGCGTGTGAATAACGCTAATAGTGGGGCGGTCCCCTTTGCTACTGTTTATATTTATTTGGGGTCGCTGTAATGAGTCTATCTGGCGCGCTGACTCGCGAACTCTGTGGAGAATTGATTAAAATGTTGTTAGATTCAGTCTTACGGAAGAGAGGGGGTGAATTGGGCCGGATAAGATTTTTAAGGGTTAATAAATGAGCTTTATCGCATAGTTAACTTGGAATAACGGTTTAGACGTAAACTGCGCTGCGGTATCAGGGCCTTTGTTAATAGGTCCTAAAAACAAACAAAGAAAACCCTTTAATGGCCCCGTTGTTAAAGAGCTTTATAAAAATGCCTGAGTAATTAGTGAAACCGAAATCGGCCATAAACTACTTTTTTATTGATGGCGGTACGTGATTTATTAATAGGAAGAATAACATTACTCCTGAAAATCTTTTATAACAAATTATACTGTTCCGCTTTCTTTTAATATCAGCTTTAATAAACCAAAGACAGGACAAACTAATACCTAAGTAAATAACAGTTTCAACATGAATAATAAGAAAATAAGGGTAATTATAAAACGAAAACACGACTTGAAATTGTTAGTTAGAGTTCCATTATTAAAAGCGGATTTTACTAAAGTCGAGTTTGCATTGTAAAAGTCGACCACAGAGAAATAAAGAGTGGTGTCGCAATCATTATAATGAAAGCGCGTTGGGACACGTGTCTGACAGAGGTCGGTAATGCGGGGGGCGCGCCAATCATCACTCATAGTTAGCGGACACCCACTGCTATTATGGACAGGAAAAGCACAATTTTTATCGCGGTCCCACAAAAGAGTTGTCATTGCGAATTTGTCACCGGCTTATTTGCCGGAGGGAAAACTACGAAAGTGTAATATTCCATTCTACACCGATAGATATTAATGATGCTGAAGGAAAACAGTAGAGGGTCCGTTTTCTTATAATACTCAGAACTTAAGCCACGTAGCAACCAATTCTTGCCTATTTACATTTTTTAATTTATTTTCCAGTCTAAGATTTCCATAAAACGCTTTAAGTATTGTTAAATTGAGTACTTTGAGGAGTTAAAGGAAAATTTAACTTGGTATTGTTATCGCTGAGATACCCGAATTTAATGATCAAAAAATGTACTATTGTTACTTAAGACCTAATTATTATCCGTTCGCAGGTTTAACCTTTCATTTTAAAACGTTTTTGTGCATTTAAAACATCGTCATGTTTATTTCAATTTCAAATAACAAAACAAGCTATGTTCCACGTCTACAATTCACAAGGTAATCGCTGCGACGTACTACGTTAAACAATTTAATAACGCAAACCGAGTCACGAGTACGTAACGAAAGACAAATCACTGCTACAATAGACTCACGCCATTTTCTCTTGGTTTAAAAGCAAGGGGACGACAAATAGGGCCGACACCTCTATTCAGTTATCGCGTTGCCTCACCAACGTTCCATATGTATCATAATGCATTTCGTTTTATTATCGGAAGACTGCGAGACGCGTCAGGGGAGAGAAACAAGGGTCGCTATCCTGCTATCCCGAGGCGCGGAATCATTCACACTTTTAATTTAGTTGCTCCTAATGTATGCGAATAACTTAGTAAAGAGGGTCGGTTCGCCCTCTCTCCCTCCCGCACTCACTAGCTCTCAGTTAAACAACTATCACGCATCGGGGCCCCGTAGGCTTTAATAGTTTTCCCCTCTGTACCCATACATTATGCAAATGCTCCAGTGATATGTCAGCCAGTACACTTGGGACTTTTATTGTTGTTCGTGTGTTTATTCCCTTTTATTAAGTCGGCTTTAATTAAATTTAAGCCAGCGTATTTGTTAGGCCGATTGACTGAAAGGACTTATACGTTGTGATTTATATCCACTTTGGATCATGCTTTGTTTAACGATGTACTTGAATTGTCTGAGTGTTGATTGAAATTCTGTTGTAATTACTAAAAGATTGTTATCTCCATTTAAAAATTTAACATCTTACATTTGGCGTCCTCAAAGCTACCTTCGCCTATGTGTACTTTGTACAGTCTCTGATCTGAGATCTGCGATTCGTGTTAACCAATTTGTATCAATGTAATGTTTTCTGTCTGTATTAATTTCTAAGTCGTCATCAATTATTTAATTTAGTTGTAACTAGTAGCCTAAACACTGATTTATGTTAAGGTAGCTATTAAATTACTTCTTTCTAATTTCTGTAAACAGCATTTATGTTTTTTAACACGCTTTTCGATATAAATTCCGAATTGTTAATTTACATTTAGTTAAATCGATTTATTAAATCTTAAGCAAAACTAATTTACTGTATAAACCAATAATTGAAATAATGTAATAGTTATTTGTTACTCATTCTCCGGTTTTATGTTTCAGAGTAACCCATATGCGTTAAAAGAGGGCGGCGGAGAGATGTCGGCTTGGACGTCTGCGGGCCTGCAACCCTCTGGCGGCTACTACCCCTACGACCCCACGCTAGCTGCTTACGGGTAAGTCCCATGGGTCCACGACCAGCTCGCGCCACTTTAGATAAAGCCAGCGACGTACACGGATTAACATAACACCGTCCTTATCTCGTCTAATAGATGGCTATGCGAAAGGCTCGTGTTTGTTTCGCAATTCGCTTTGACTTTAATAGATAGTATGTCGTGCATATGCCTTACGGATGTACTGTTTGTATGCACTCTAATAGAGCCACAGTTTTGAGGAGACTTCTAATGAAATATCAAATTTAAAGACATTTATAATTTTTTATCAATAGTAATATTAAAACATTCTAATAACATTAAAGTTATAGTTAAAAATTTGGTCCTTGAAAAGGTGTAGGTTTAACAATGTTCATTAACTTAAAGTAGCTTTTCTTCTAAGTTAGCCGGAGATTAGCGTGTGCTTTATTATTACCAATAATATCAAAATGTTAGTTGTAGCTGAACCACTGAAGTTTGAAAAATCCGAACGAGTGTTATTATTAAAAAAAAGTTAAAAGTCTACGCGATTATAAAAGCTATTCATCAAAACAAAGTCCACTAATCACTAAACAATTTTTTAAATAATATAATAATGGCTATAGTCCGTAAAAACTTTTAGATTAAAAAAAATATGCAATCTTTTTAGATAAAGAAAAATGCAACATAAAAGAAGCAGGATCTAAAAAATAAATATAAATATGTGACAAAAAAGTTGCTCCATGTATTTTCAGTTACGTGCGTGGCTAGTAAGTTATTCATACAGTATGTCAAAAAGCCTTAATGAGGCATTTATAATACTTTTCAAATTAACACCCTACCGCGGTTCGGGTACGTACGCACGCAACTAACTGACCCTATGTTTAGAAGTAAATACGGTGAAGGACAAAATGTCCACGGCACCACACCCGGTTTTTCTTCACCTCTTTTCTCACTCGCACTGCCACCAAAACGCGTAAGCGTGATAGAAACAATCATCAACATATTTCCACACACCATTTTGGTGCGGAGCTTTATCAATTCACAGTTTTTCATCGAAAACTCGATAACCGAGACTCGTTGTGTTGATGTTTTCATTGCACAAATATCAAATTGCCTTTCGACGCCGTATTTTATTCAACGAACCGTATCCACAAACTATAATAGTCATTTATATCGACAGAAGCGATCATGGTGCTGTCATAATAGCGTATAATGTGGACGCATCAATTAAATGCAAGTTTCACGGCGCACTCGAAAATTAATCCGCCTCATGAATCAACCTGGGAGTGGCTGGAAATAAAAACAAATCATGTTACATCAAAGCGGAGCTATGCTGACAATTCGGCTCCGTTGGACGTAATATATAGCAAGCGGTGCGTTATAATCTAAAAATAATTAGAGGCGACATTAGTTTTTATGCGTAAAAAAGACGGAGAGATAGCATCGGTTCGGGAGGCGCACGGAAATACACCGTGATATATTGCGTCTCCAATACGCGCACACAATTGTTCACTGCGCGTCCCACACATAGGATGCCGTTCCGTTACCTGAACAATAATTTATTAGTCGACACAAGTTACACAAACAACTTAACAGGCGATACTGTAATAAATTATAATAAGCAAAAACAAGCGTTCGCCCGCGAAACGACAAATTCATGTTGCAAGAATGAAATACGATCGCGAACAAAATTGTTGTATATTCATTTGAAAAGAAAAACTTCATACGAGGCTCATAAAACGTAACGGCAGCCGCAATAAGTTAGCCGGATGGAGAAAAATAATGAAACAAAGAAACAAGTACGAAAAGCTTGCAGAAACAACAAAAGTTGTGCGCGACGCGACGTAGGCGCACTTGAGCTTAGGTACCGTTGAAGTATTATTTGGAACGGTCTGTAATCCGCCACGCCCGCCGCACACCGAAATGAAAAATTACTCAGCTATTTTCAACACAAGTCTCGAGCACAGAAAAAGTACAAAAATTAGAGAAAAGAGAGGAGGGTGCACTTGTAACGTACCATTGAGATCAAAATACGCAGGAAATTACGGCGCCCCGAGCGCAAGCCGCCTCGTCGTTCCCGCATTATTTTTGTGCCAACGATTTGGGCTGTTACGTTTTAAATCAACCAAATAAGAACTTCTGTTAACGATACGTAACATTTAAACGGCTCCATCTTTTAAATTTACGTTCGACTTGATTTTCTTTGATAAATTAACACATTATTTGGTTTAACTAACAAGCGGTATGTAATAAATCTATCGCGGTGATTAACTGTACTGAGACACGGTATTAACTCGGACTTCGCAACGCTTGAGCGGTGCCTAAACGGTCTGGGTAATTAATGTCAGTGCATGATTATGGATTAGTTGACATCACTCAAGCTCAGTTGTATATTATGTCACGTGTACTCATCTCGTAGCAATTATGTATTTGAAATCGTTACTCGCCTCTCGCTTCTAATTCGATACGACCCGAGGCTCCCTCGGCGTGGGGAGGTAGTACTTATGTACAGGAATCGGGTACATAGAGGTAGGTTCGTTGTACGGGGGAGGGTGCGGAGAAGCCACAATTCCCCCAAGCGGCCAGATCGTAAACCTCTGATACCGCGAATCGAACGCATGCTCTCTCAAACATGTAGCGTAGCCTTCGCCGCCCGCCCAACCGCAGCTTTCCCTACTTCCATTCTCATCTGTTCTATTACTTTGTTCTGTCTATTAAAAACGAAATTCATTAAATTAGGATTCAATTAAAATTAGTGCGAACAAAATTGTTTAAAGCTTTATAAATAAAGCAATCGACTAATGAGGTACAAAAATAATTTTTCGTAATTTGTAAGCTTATTTGGCAATTTTTATTTAAATCATGTTATGTAGGTGAGGTATATTATGAGTCTTAAAATAAAATCTTAAAATTTAAAACATATGGTATGAATAAACGAAAATTACCAATTAAAATAACAGTATTCGAATAACTTTTAATTTTCATTCATGATATTTTCATTAAAAAAGATTAAATGTGCCGTTTATACGTCGGTTCTCTATTGGTTGTAAGACGCAAAATTAATTTAATTAATATTCAGCTACACTTTTGCCTTTTAAGGGTAAAATGGAAGAGGTTGAACGAATTTATAATTGGTTTTGTATTTCCATTGATGTCATAACAATCTTTCATTATTTTTTAAAATAACGGCTGAATGTTAAAACGACTTTTAAATATATAACATCATCTTCAATGACGTTTGTAAGCGGCTTACGAAGAAAAATTATGTATGATTCGTTTCAGTATTCGGCAGTATATCTCACTGATTCGCCACGGTCAAATTATGTCACAATATCATAAACTTTTTACAGAATTTGTCATAGCTTAGAAAAATATATATGCATCACTTCCAAATATCGTAGTTATTAAGTGTAAGAAAAAAAAACTTTTATTTACGAGTCACATTTCAAAACAAATTCATGCCTAATTTATTTCTATATTCATATAAACTCTCTAATACAAACTGGAGCAGTAAGTCATAACTTCAGTGAGGGAATCTGTGTAACTTATAAAGGGGCTATTTAAATAACGCATATATTTAAGTCATGAAACTTTTTTAAATTTGGAATTATCGTATGCAGGAAATGTCAAAACGAATTAATCCGACCATTTGTCGGGCACACACATGCGCGTGCGCACACACTGACATCGTGTACGTTTATATTTCGTTCCCAAATTAACAGGCAAAGAGTATTTCCGTTGGTGGGAGATAATTTTATACACTACATTTTTAAAGTAGGGTGCAATAATTATTATCATAAGAACTTTCTAAATGCGAACAGCAATTAAAATGTCTATAGTTTATATTTAACGTTTTAAAGTTTTATTTTTTACTAGCTGTTTGCCGCGACTTCGTTCACGCAATATTAAGATAAGTAGCCTATAATATGCCCGTCTATATCAGCTATCCTTCAGTGAAAGTCCGTTCGAAATCGGTCCAACTATTTCGGAGATACCAGAAACAAACGCGCTTTACGGACAGACAGATTGGCAGACAGACAGACAAAAAAAATGCAATTTTCGTTATAAGCAACATAAATACATTATCTTCCCAAAATCTGGAAATTCATTTGATATTCAGAATCCTTGAATTAGGTTTAACATTTCACCAAAACATCTTATTTTAATGATATCATCATCATCATCATCATCACCAGCTCACAATACGTCCCCATCGAGGGGCTCGGAGCCTACCCTAAAGTTAGGGTGACTAGGCCATAGTCAACCACGCTGGCCAAGTGCGGGTTGGTTGACTTCACACATATCTTTGAATTTCTTCGCTGATATGTGCAGGTTGCATCACGATGTTTTCCTTCACCGTAAGAACGTCGGGTAAATTATGTACATATGAAAATTCGAAAAATTGAAAATCACATTGGTACATGGCGGCGGGATTCGAACCCAAGACCTGTAGATTACAAGTCAAGTGCTTAAACCACTGAGCCACCGACGCTCTCGATGTGATAATGATATCAGATAACACTAAAATATAAACAATGATATTTCAGCCAGAAATAAAATTTTCAGTACCAAATTTAAAGTGAGAAGGGAACTAATTTTTTTGGCTACAAAATTTATAAAAGAAATTTCTCGTTAGCTTTCATTTAGCAGTAGCTTATCTATACTATTATAATAAAGCGTAAACACACACTTCTTTGTTGCCTAAGATGTCAGCAATTACAGCATATTTTCGTATAACTCTTTTTTTAATAAAAAGCCCTACACTTAGGTCACGCTTTAGGCTATAATTTTAACGCTATTAAACATAGAGGTAAATATTTTGGATAAAAACCTTAATGTGGGAAACAGACAATAAGTTGCTGCCAACATCAAGGAAGCTAGGTTGTCATCATGTCATGTTATTTTGACACTTACAATTTATAATTTGACAGATGTTAACAATGAAATAAAATTTTCATAATTTCATGCGGATGAAGTCGCACGGGAACAGCTAGTATTTAGAAAAATATAAATATTAAATACAATTACATTTATCTAAATAA